ACACACACACACACACACACACACACACACACCACCTTTCCTCTCTCTCTCCACTAATTCTCTCTTCTCTTCCTCCCTCAGCTGCTGTCACAGGTTTCACAGGCTGTCACAGGTTTTTTTAACCTCTAAACATCCTGATCCCTTCCTCCGTCCTCCGTCCTGTCTTACTCCTCTCTTATCCTCCTCTCTGCCCCTGCATCTCCTTCTGTCTCTCTCGCTCCCTCTCTTTCATCTAAGTGTGTCTCTCTCCCTCTCTCTTTTGGGTTTCAAATCATGATCCCCCCTCTGCTGCTGCAAGGAAAACTCCACCTACTCAGCGCTGTTAATGTAGTCACTGACAGTGCGAGCCTCTCTCTTTCTCTCTCTCTCTCTCTCTCTCTCTCTCTCTCTCTCTCTCTCTCTCTCTCTCTGTCTCTCTCTCCTCTTCTCTGTGCCTCTCACTCTCTCTCTCCTGGGCATCTCCCCCCAACCTTCCTCCTCCTCCTCCTTCTCTCCGAGCATCCTCCTCTCCTCTCACATCGCTCTCCGGCTCCACTTGCGCTCGCAGCCTCCTGTCCGTCCGCTGCTCTCCTCTCTCCGCCTATCTTCCTCTATTGCACACACACACATTTACACACACACACACACACGCACACACATGCATGCATGCGTACACTCTCCCTTCTCTCACTGTCTCCCCTCTCTCTCTCAGTCACACTTGGTCCTGTGCAGACTTGAGGAGCCCCGGATAGGAGATGATGCTGGTGGTGATTGTGTTGGAGCTTTAGTGTTGATTTTTCTTTTTCCTCTTTAAAAAAAGAAAACTAGACTCAGAACAATGTTGATGCAACAGCACCTCTTCCCTCTGTGCTGTGTTGATCTGCCTGCCTCCTGCCTGGAATCAGCCCATTTTGGGGGAATTTAAACGACAGAGAGTGTGCTGCGCCGGCTGTGCGCTCTGCGGTTCTGGTGCGCTGGATCTTCTTCTTCTTCTCTTTATCTCTCCACTAAAGGATGCTCAGTTCTTTCCACAACCAGGAATATTACTACTACAACTACCAATACTCTTACTGCTGCTGTTCACTTCTCTGCCCCAGCCCGATCGCAGTCTGAAGCACCCCGGTCCCCTGAAGGGAAGAAGAAGCATGTCAGAGGCGCCCGTGTTGCACATGGAAATGAGCCGTCTGCTGCTGGTTCTGCTGGACTCCAGCCTCTAAACCAGACTTGAGATTATCCATAAATCGCAGAAAGGCTCTGAAGAAATTGGGGATCCTAAGAGTTCCTTTCTGGCGAGCCAAAGATTCTTGTATCACTGTATATCGGGGAGCACCAGCTGCTTAACCAGCTCTATGGTTTTCTGACTTGTCCAAGACTGCGATTTTGGCATCTGACTGAGAGGTAAGGCTGCTTCCACTTTGACTTTGCTGTGTTGCCTCTTTGTGGCATTTTCACTCTGCTCTGCTCTTCCCGAGCGGCATCGATTCTGTACTTTGGAGAGGAACGGCTCAGTCTCAGTGATGTGGCAGATTTTTGCTTTGCTGGATTACTCTCCTGGTCTGCTAGAAGCTCTTGTGTTTTTTAAGAAACTGTCCACTGTTCAGCTGCTCCCGCAACCCCAAGCTTTGTCTGATTAGTCATGACTCGCACTGCTCTGTCCTGTTTACTATGCATCATCCAGTGTCTGTAGCAATGTCCCTCACTGTGTCTTTCTGCTCAGCAGCCGGTTAGAAATGAATGGCACTGCAGCTGAGAAGCCAGAGGTGTTTAGTGTTAAGTGGATTGCTAGAACCACGGAGCATCCGGCGTCTGTTTGCACTGAGTTCATTGTGATCAGTCTGCTAGCATAGGTGCACAGGAATCTGCACTCAGAGATGAACTGCAGCTATTTTAAGTTCATTATATGAATCTTTGGAGAGGGGGGGGGCTCATTCTCTTCAGTTTGTGATTCATTTTCTGTCTCATTCTGTTTAAGTTTGTAGGTACAAAGGTTTTCATTTTCTCACATGACAGATATTAAAAAGACTTCTTCTTTTATTTGTTTTTGTATCCCTGATGAAATGGCAGGATCAGTTGTGTTGCTTTTGACATGAACTGCTGCGAATAACTGGCACTGGATATGAACCATCCTCCTGCATGTGGAGGTCTGCTTTGTGCAATGTATTTAGTCAGTCTGCTATACTGTACATCAATAGATGCGTGGGTTATTCCCTGTAAGACTGTAAAACTGCAGGGTGTCTCTACATGGAGAGCCAGATGTGGGGTAATTGCATTCAGTGTCAGAGTCTGTGCCAACGTGCAACGTCCTCTGAATAAAGCAGTGCAAATGACTGACAAAGGATATCACATCATGTGTCTGAACTAATATTTGTCACTGAGATGTTCACTCACAGATGGTGTTACTGGATCATGTCTGTGAAAGGAAATTCAAACTTAAGGGTGATTGCATTTCAAGGTCCACTGTAGTTTCTGGATCGCTGCTCTCTGGCTTTTGTTGAATAAATTACTCAAATGAAAGTCAGTGGATATGGAGGCTAGACAGAGCAGCCTAACTTTTGGTAAAAAAAAAAAAAAAGGCGTCTGCTTGGAACAACTGCTCTGAAATTATTCACAGATGCATCTATGAGCCATCTATCCAGATTTAGTACCACAAGCAATGGGCATATCGAGGACTTAGAGCCAGAGGGGTGTCGGGAAGATCTATATCAATAACACAGTAAAAAATCTCATCAAATATTGTGGTGCAATTAAATATCTCTGTGTGAACAGTAATGGGATTACATCGGTGATCAGAATTAGGCTCTACACTGTAAAAAACTTCAAACTCAAAGTAGTTAATTTGGTATAAAAATAGAATTCTTCGTATAATGGGACCATTTTGCATTTAAGATGAGGTATTCCACTTGTTGAAAATGCAGTTTGTTTGTTGTCAGTATTTTTGAGTGTCAGTAGCTTGAAGTAGTGCCGAGTAAGGCAAATCACTGCTGAAGTATCAATAAAATGACTCATGAGAAATGATCTTGCAGCGCACTTGTTTTGACTGTCATGGAAACTTGATAAAAATCGATTCACTCTGCTTTGGCTACAGTCAGCAGTTTCATGAAAACAGTGTATATAGTAAACACTGCACATTAAAAAACAAATTAGGGCATTTGACACTTAAGTGCCTCAGATGATTACTTATAGTGCAAGGGTCATCCCTGCTGCTTGACTCAGAAGACTAGAGGAAAACTTCAAACCAATCAGTTTCCTTCAGGGTGGCAGTGCGGTGGTTCCAAAAGCATATTGTAATATAGGCAGCAAAAGAAAACTGTATACTGTGTGCTGGTAGGTGACAAATTGAAGAAAAACTTTAATAAGTGAGTAAAGAAACATATTCGCTCTCCACAACAACAATTTAAACACCAAAATGAGTGAATATCTTGTGGAAGAATGGTGTTCATTTCTTTGATGCTGCTCCAGAGACTTGGAGAATCAATCCAAAAGAACTTACAACAACTAACAACAACATTTAATGTTGTTTTGTCTCCCTATTTTCACCCCACTGTAGCTGTAAAACAGGGCACTGCATATGAGGGAGCATTTGTGGAAATAAAGCAAAGGAAGACTCAAAAAGAGCTTCAATCTGGAAGAGCATTTGGGGGATTAGGGGGCACTGTTGGATGCTATGCCAGAAACAGAGAATGCTTCTTGAGATACCTTTAGTATCTCTAGAGCAAATGCTGCCAGGGAGGTGATCAATATTGGCTCCATCCCAGAAAGCTTTTAACATCAGTCTTTTTTAAACTGTATCTGTCTAATGTCTTGGTTCGCTTGAGTTTGTTTCCAGTTACGTTCTTCTTCTATCTAGATTCAGTTTGTATGTTTGGCAGATGCTGTTAAAATTTTCACCTTTGAAGCCATACTTGTGAATGTGATTGCAATAATTGCGAGACCTTTTCTAAGAAGTGTTTACATTCTGCCTTTGTCACTCTGGCAGATCTGTGCCTTCAAATGTTGAAATTCTAACGTTAATTACAACAAGTGTTCCCCTCCCGCTAATGTCATACATTTCCCCTGCGTCTCTTGGATTACATTTACTCTCCAGAGAATTGTAATCAAGAACAAATAAATGCAGAGTGTAACAACAACATAGCACACTATAATTGTATTATCATTATTGGTAGATTAATACATGAAGGAATAACTAAATCTTTGTAGGGCATCCTTGCCACCGGGCAGACAAAATAAATGATCAGAAAAGATTATTAATTTATTTTTGAGTATATCATCAAGTGGCTCAGCTGAAGGTCTGTGGCCACACTAACAGTTTTGTGAGGCTGTACTCATAGAATGGTTCATATGATATCCCACCAAATAGCCCCCCACGAATGATGTGACATCCCTAAAGTTATTGTTAAAGTAAGTAAATTTACTGTACTTAGGTTTAGGAAGAAAGACGTGGTGCAGACATACCTTAAAAAATCACTCAAAGTTTATACGGTTCTGAACATGTGACTCCAGGGGAAAGTCCAGGTTTTTGTGACCCATTCACCTCCCAAACCTGCCTCCTCAAGGGGGATTTATACTCATGCGGCAGAACCTACGTCGTAGCCTACACACATGGCCTAAGCCATTGTGAGCATTTATACTTGTGCAGTGGTGTGTCTGTGTCACTCTGCAGTTACACCTACAAAACACTAGTCGGCGGCGGGGTTTCTGTGAAGTGCTGTAAAGTTTAGTTGATAAAAAACACACCCAACTAACACATTAAACACACATTAAACACAGCTCAATAGCAACAATTTCAAACAGAAGTGTACAAAGCAGCTTCATTATAACTTGCAGCATCACAGACAGAGCTTTTGTCTTCTGCTAGACACATTTTCCCGACAAATACAACATGCTAACTTCTTTAGCACACGCTTATGGCATTTTACATTGTATAAATTAGCCTAACAGCTAGCAAACTTTTCCTCTACTACTCCTCTTTACTCATATGAAGTCAGGGACAACAGCAACATTTTACGAAGGTAAAGTTACAAAATTCTGCCTCATTACAGCTCACAAGGTTCACTGACAAAACAACTGTCTTATACTTAACACGTTTTCCAAACAAAAATATTATGCTAATGTTATTAGCATGAGCCTATGGCATTTTACATTGTGAAAAATTAGCCTAGCGATGAGCGGAGATTTCCTCTGCTCATATGAAGCCAGGATAAATCCCTGAAGGATAAATCACACACAAGACTTAAAATGCTATTTTGTGGAGGCTTTAGTACTTTTTGTTTCTTATCTGTGAAATTAAAGTAAATAAAAGCTTCATTTCCACTGAGGGAAATGGTTTTCAGCCTACAAAAATAAACAGGAGGTCTGCATCTCTGCAATGTGTACTTACATTTCTGGGATGGTGCACATCAGGCTACAGTGTAAGTTACGGCGTAGGCTCTACGTGGGCGCAGAGTCTACGCTGCAGGTACAGCATCGATTCAATGCAGATGTATAAATCCTGCCTTAAAAGATCACTTGGGACTACTTCCTTGATTACTTTGAACACATTTAGCAGCATTACTTTTCATAGGAGAACATACAGTTTGTGAGAACAGCCTGACTTTGTGCAGCACGGCTTTGAACTAAATGCTAATGTAGGCATGCTAACATGCTCACAAAAGCAATGTCAACATACTGACGTCTAGCAGATTTATTGGCACTAAACACGAAGAACTGCAGTTGATGGGAATGTCAGTAGTTCTGTATGTTTTTGGACATAGGCAAAGAGAAAAAAGAATTGGATAAATTAATTTCTACCTCATGATGGCGCTTGCTTTCAACTTATTGAACTGATTGTCTCAGATGATTAGAGTCAGAGAGACAAAGAGAGACATAACCAAACTGGAACCTGACTGGAGCCTGAAGCTGTACTGTACCTAACAAAATGAATCAAGTTAGACAGCAGAACTCTCCTGTAGCTGCTGTGAGGAGAGAGACGGAGAGAGTGAGGGGTAAAAGGAGGATGGGAGGTTTAGTGACTCAGACATATAAGTAGGGAGAAAGAGGAGGACAGGGAGGTGAGAGATGACAAGGCAGGAAAACATATACGGAGCAAGGGTGGATAAAGGAAGGCATGAACAGCGGGAGACTGCAGGTGTTGATCTAGTGTCGATGAGAACAAAGTCCCCGTCGGAAACCATCGCGGCGATGACGGACACTCAGACAAGACAGCCGGTGAAGAAAAAGAGTAATGAATTTTTAGGAAAGGTGTTGTGATGAATACTGCAGCAGGGAGCAGAACACGCTTCGATGTGTTTCTCACCACCACTCTCCCTCCACCTCCGCAAGCACTCATGAATTACTTAGGCTAAAAACTTGCCCGTACACACTTCAATTATACACACACACGCACACACACACACAATGCA